TCAGTGGTTTATATATGTGTATATGAAATGCAAAGAAATTATATTTACGTATGCTTAAATATTTATAATGATTGTGCAAGAAAAAATTGTTCTTTGATGAGGGGTCAATATGACCATTTTGCACTTAGGCTTACCTCGTGCATGTTGTGAAAGATCAAAGTGGGAAAAAATCAATACTTTGAGCTGCATGGAGTGAATATGAGAAAACCCTTGTTATCTAAATTCGGGGCACTGATGGCAAGGACAGGATAACTATTTTTGATTGGTTGGATGTGGATGGCGCAGTCTCTCAGGGGTATCATAAACTCGAAAAATGAGACCCCCCTGTTACGTTCGCACAATTTCATAACTTATATCCCAGAGATGTTGCAACAGTCGCCTCTCCAGCACGAAGACCTTCAAACCAACACGATTCCATTGGAAGTTACTTCCGCAACAAATACCCAAACACCTTTACACCCACAGACACGCGATCCGACTTCTCATGCAATTGCAACGTCCTCTGTTCAACGGTCTTCGTTCGTTATGGCATCACCTGCTGGAGCTGCAACCGCTGCATCAGAAACTGTTGCAACGCCGTTGACAAGATTTAATATGAACTTAACAACTTCGGTTCCTCAAATACCTGGAAATCCAGAGATTCTAACACAGCAAGTCATTCAACAAACAACTTTAAAATATCCTCATCCCACTCAACAGGTACCAGCACCTATTTCCATTCTTCTGATCCCAGAACGAGCTGAAGAACTTTTGGGTGCCTTAACCATTGAACAACTGTCATTAATTGAAAAGTCAGTGCAGCGTGTAAAAAGGAAAAAGACTAAAGAGACTAAAAGGCTCAACACTAATGGCAACAACGCTAATGGCGTTATTAATGTCGATTTAAACAATTCCGATTTACTTGAAAACCCTAAATCAAATACATCCAAACCTCCAATTTTAACACCAAACCCTCTACCGTTACCTGTTAGCCTTGGTGACACTATCTCATCCTTTGTTACTTCATCGAATACAAACGTCAGAACTCAGTCACAAGATCAACATCCAGATCAACATTATCAGCAAGCTAAACTCGACCACCCGCAACATCTTCAGCAACCAATACAACATCAATTGATTCAATCACAACAAAACAAACAAATTCAAATACATGCCTCATTATCACGACAGGATACTTCACAAGAAACTGTTCCTCGTCAAAACACCAATGATATTAATAATCCCACTCCTAATCATGCTCTTCCGGCCACAGATCCAATCATTGTGATGCATGAAGGCGTCCACTGGGTTGTTTTTACATATTCCGTAAAAGGAAATAATAAAGAATATCGCATACGTATCGATATTGAGAGTATCAATCTTGATATCATCGATGAAAAATTCAGACGCGAGAACTGTCTTTACCCAAGAGCAAATTGCACTGAAGATAAGTACAAAGGCAACCGATGGTCTTATGAAAAGGAATGCAATGAATTAGGATGGAAATTGGCATGGCTTAACAAAGAAGAAATTGGAAATAGACGAGGACTGCTACAACGAGCAGTGGACAGTTATCGAAATCGTGATCCATCATTGCGTTCCCGGAGGGTTGTCCGAAATGAAAAGATTCAGAACGGAACGCTGCGTAAAAGAATCACGAGAGACAGTGATGGGAATGATGGTTCACCCGAAAGTTCTGCAAAGCGACCACGTGGTGCAGGTAGACAATTAACAATAGAGTCAACCGTGAAAGGCGAAGTCTCAAAGATTCGTATACGAGCTGATATAGAATGTGTATCTATTTCGGAAATACCGGATGATTATAAAAGAGATAATTGCGTATATCCAAAGGCACTAGCTGAGAAAGCCGACTATCAAGGATCAAATTGGGAACTAGAATCGAGTTGTAATGAATTAGGTTGGAAATTGGTAAGATTTTTTAATCACCATTATTTCCTTTGCGGTGATGGGTGCGATTAATCAATGCTTTATGTATAATTACTTGAAGGCCTTCCTGAATCGTCCAAAACTCGACGGAAAAAAATTGCTTCTTCAAAAAGCAATAGAACTATATCGAGAAAAATACAACAAAGCAGTGCGGCCTCGTAGAGGAAGATACTCACATACCCTTTCTGCCAAATTTTTCGAGAATCATCCTCGTGAGGTCGATCCAGATAATAACTATACAACACCTTCGACGATAGAAAACAAGATGGCGACTTCGGATACCACCAACACGTCGATTTCGTCAACGTTATCCAATCCGGAACCCAGAACATCATCTTTAACGGCGAGCGATTCGAATTCGAATTCAAATAGTAACGTTGGAAGTGCACACATGGAAATTAGTGTGGAAGATTAACCGTATGTGTCTGACTGACTATTGTCTATGTTGAATTTTTCTCGAAAATAATTATCACGCAACAAAGACTCGGATGAATTCTGTTATAAAAAGTCCACTTTCATTTTTTCTTTTATTTTTACTTGAATGGATGATGGATATATATATAGGTATGGGCCAAATTCTGGCAAAAGTGTTTACAATGTAACTTTTATAAACTGACAGTTGTCCAGTTTATGCAGTATATACGAGACAACTTTTATTGCTGATTTTATATATTTCTCGGATGCATTTTACGTACTTAGAACAATCGAGACTGTAAAATATGTTCATAGCTACTCAGTATAATAAAA